TTTTTTGTTTTAGCCTCTTTTCTGTCTTACCAGGGCCTTAGGCTTTTGAACTGGACATTACTAAGGCAAAAATTCTGCACAATCATGACGGATGCATAAATCCGCGCGCCTTGCTTGCCTGGGCAGGCCTGTGCATCCACAAAACGGTCGGTGTTTTTACCTTACAATAAAATAAAATAAAAATCTGAAAAAGCGAACAAAAAAAAAAAAAAAAACACTTTTTTTGTGGAACCCTTTTTTTTTAAAAGGAAGTTCTAGAACCCTTAATCTTTGTTCTGGAATGTTGTAGAACCCCTCCATTTTTTTATTTTTTGTTGGGGGGGGGGGGGGTGTAGAACCCCTCACTGGCATTGTTGCAAGTCGCAACAAGAATATCCACTTCTGAAGATTTGAGTTTTAACTTTTACCTTTGCACTTTTGACTTTTATAACTTTTTAACTTTTTTAACTTCTAAGGCAATCCTCTAACAAGCTCTTAGAGCATGAAATTTGTCGAGGACCACCTGCGTCAAATAGCTGGAACCGAAAAAAGATGCACTTCTCTGCCAACTGGCAGCAGCTACAGCTAGGTGGTTTCATGGCGAGCTACCTACTGTGACAACTAGAAGTGAAAGGCTTTAGGGTTTGGGGTTCGCGGCTCGAGGTTGAGTGTCTAGGGGTTAGGGTTTACGATCGGGGCCTTAGGGTTTAGGGTTGAGAGAGATGTTTTTCTGCCCATCTAGGGAGTTTAACAGTGAGCCATCTACTAATTACAACTCGAAGGGCTTTGGGTTTACAGTTTAAGGTTTAGGAGTTTGGGGGTTTAGGGGTCTAGGGGTTTAGGGGTTTAGGAGGTGAGGGATTATGGTTCAGAGATACTTTTGTCTGCTGAAGGTCTCAGGGGTTAGGATTAAAAGATAAGCTTGCCTCCTCAACAGACAGGGTAGGTAGTTTAACAACAAGCCACAATTGGAATGCAAATGGTCTAGGGTTTAAGGCTCAGGGTTTAGGGTGTTCAGGGTTCAGGGTTCAGGGTTCAGGGTTCAGGGTTCAGGGTTTCGGGTTCAGGGCTCAGGGTTCAGGGTTTACGGTTCAGGTTTCAGGTTTCGGGCTTTCTGGTAAGGGTTTTGGGTTCGAACTTTCAAGTGTAAGGTTTAGGATTTAGGGTGTTCAGGGTTGAGGGTTGAGGGTTCAGGGTTCAGGGTTCAGGGTTTATAGTTCAGGTTTCGGGCTTTCTGGTAAGGGTTTTGGGTTCTAACTTTCAAGTTCAGGGTTTAGGGTTTAGGGTTCAGGGTTTCGGGTTCAGGGTTCAGGGTTCAGGTTTCAGGGTTCAGGGTTCAGGGTTCAGGGTTTAGGGTTCAGGGTTCAGGTTTTCTGGTAAGGGTTTCGGGTTCGAACTTTCGAGTTTAGGGTTTAGGGTTTAGGGTTTAGGGTTCAGGTTTTCGTGTTCAGGGTCCAGGGTTTAGGGTTCAGGTTTCGGGCTTTCCGGGGGGGGTTTCGGGTTTGGACGTTCGAGTTTAGGGTTCAGGGTTTAGGGTCAGCCATGCTGAGGCGCATTTTTTGTGGTGGGGGGGGAAGCCTGAGGAGGGGTGACTGGCTCTTATTTCAAAGACTTTTGGGAAGGGGCAGATTAGCGTGGTTGTATGGTGTTCCATCTGGCAGCCTGAAACAGACTAAAGAGGCGTACTCTGTCCAACACAATTTTTCATATGTATTTGTTCTGAAATGATGTTCAAAGGGGACGCTGGACCCGGTTTCCAGCAGGTGCAGCTCCCCCCCCCCCAGTGGAATGGAGCCACTGGTGAAGTAGACAGGGGTGCATGCTCTTATCATCACGCCTGCCCGTGCTAACTGGTGTAAAAAAAAAAAAAAGAAAAAAAAAAAAAAGGGTGGGGGGTGCGGTTAGGGTCAACCTAACCTAAACTCCATTCAGTGTCTATAGTAGGTTGATGCATGGTCTCCATGTTCATCAGGGAAAGACGATTAACGTTTTGGAACGAAGGGAGTGAAGAGGGGAAGTGGAGCAAGGGAGGGAAGAAAAGGGGAACAGCAGGGAGGAGGGACAGAAGGGATGGCATGCGAGAGAGCCATTGCAGTACGGGGTGCAGAGGAGATTGGCAACAAGCGTACTGCTGAAGAGAGTGGCTGACATGTGGTCCCCCCACGAACCACAGGAGGTCAGACGCAGGGAAGGTTTCGTTTATAACTTTTTTTTTTTTTTTTTTCATTTATACTGTCACCGATACTTCTTCCTTTTTCCCCCCAACACTTTTTCCTGCTGGCAGTGGGTATCAGGCTCTTTCCTTCTTTTTTTTTCTCTTTTTTTTTTTTTTTTTT